TGTTATGAGAATGTTCTTTTCTCATTATACCCCTCCTTCTTCTTTTCTTGCTCTTGTCACACTTGTGATAGCTACTTTGCCCAAATAGTGTAAGTATATGTTTTTAAATGACCCTCTATTTACATTTTGTTAAGTTTCAAAATTATTAGGGCAGTATAGTATGGCTAGCTGCAGCAGAATTTTGAAACCTTCAACGCTGATCATCGCTGTCAGAGCTAGACAATTTTGGGCTCAGAGCAACGCTGAAAAATAGCCTCCCCCTCTCCCAACAAAATTAAAAATGTGAAAGTTGTATCAAGCATACAAGTTGTTACTTCTAAAATTACTCGATTTTCTTGAGTTCTAATTTCTTTTCCAATGTTTTAATAATTTTTTCACCAGTCGCATAATCAGGCTCCCTGATTCGCAGGACCCTGGGCAATTTTACACATTTTTTATATGCACATTTTTTATTGTTTATTTGATGGCTAAAATAAGTATCTAGATTGAACATGAATATTTTCAATTTAATTTGTAGTTTTAATTTTATATTGAAGTTATGTTTAACAGTGTACATGTTTTTATCTATATATAATTTGGAAAATATTTTATTTGATTTCAGAAATTTTTTAAGTTGCTTATCTTTCAATATCTTTTGTTCAACTCTTTCTATACTAGAATGTTAATATAAACAATATCTTGAGTCTGTAAAGTTTTCATAATTATTTCATAAAGTGTGTACATTTTATATCATTTTTGCACATCATATCATTAATTTGTGTATTGTTCATATTGATGTTGTCTTCAAGCCTTCTTGTTTAGCCCTGAGGATAGAATGAAAGTATTCCAAAACGTTAGCAATGGTTGGATTGTTTCTACTCACTCTCACCAAATGCCGTGAACTACATCTCTCATTACATTATGGTTGTGAATTCTACTGTGATAAATAATATCATATTTTCTGAACATATGTATCTATAAGATTTAAAATTTACTTGCAATTATTTTATCTGTATTATGTGGCTGTGTTTTAACAAAAGGCTCAGAATTATGATGATACTGAATGTTCTTTTGAAGCTACTGTTGTAGATAGATTGTGGTTACTGCAAGAAGGAGTGATTAAAATCATTGCTACTAAGTTTCTTCTGTTAAAAATGATTAATATTATCATAACTATATATACAACAGACAATTAAAATATAATTTCAAATATTGTATGACTATATAAAATAAAAAGCATTTTTAATAATTGAATTCACATTATTGAAATTAAATTAATGATGTCTAATTAAAATGAACTGAACAATCCATGGTTTCTTGAAAGGAATGCTCAGGTTTCAGGAAGTTATAACATCCTATAGTGATCATCTAGTCTAATTTGAGCTCTAGCTTAATACGCAATGTTGCAACTCATCTTCAGAACAAATACATACTATTTACTCACATTACTGTATTAAGAAGTATATTCTTTAGGAAACTTCATACAAACCTTCCTTGTTCAAAGCCATTGAGCATTATATCATGTGTAATTTTTTATCACTTGATGAATTGATTTAATCAACTTTAAAATGATATCCTCTGTGTGTACTATCAAATCAACATTTTAGGGGTACATATTGCCTTGTAGTTTTTGAATGAAGAATAATACAATGAAAATTCTAATTTATTTAGAAAAGAAACAATTTTGAAATTTTCACAGTTGCTTACAACATAGTATTTACAATTTGACAGTGCCCACTGCGTTGTAAAAGTTGAAAAATATGCATCTGTTTGGGCATGGTGAAAAGAAAGCATAAAGTGTTTGTTCTCACAACAGTACATGAACTATACATTTCAATTTTGTGTAAGACTGAAAGTAGGATCATTCTGCGAAAATACAGGAATTAGAAATAAACATTTTTTAAGTATTTTAATAGCTGTATAATATTAAGGCAATGATAGATATGTAGATCTTTCGGTTCACCATATTCTTATCATTCATTATATTAATTCATGTGAACAGGTTTATATTTGTATTGAAAAATTCTTATAGCAAACACTTTGATCAATATTGTATAACAATTAAATATATTAACAATGCACACTGTCAAGAAAACTCAATTGCCATTTAAAGACGAGGCAAACCTTTCACAATAATTAAATTTTTTTCATGGGTAACCTATTCCACCCCATTGATCAATTATATCTTAAAAATAGAACAACAATGTGACTTTCTAAGGGATGTAACTATGATTTTTTCTATATACTCCTGTCTGTTAGAACATAATAGGGGACATTTGCATATTTACATAGAAACTTCTAAAAAAACAAAAACAAAAAATATTCACAATGTTTGAAACATGGCATTTGGATCATTCCTAATAGGTTTATATTCGCTTGCATTTTCATTCACCGCTTTTATTCCATTTAAAAAACACAAATTATTATTTCAAATGAAGATGAAGGGAATAATTAAAAAATTAATTCAAAGTAATATTAACAATTCAGAAGCTACAATTTTATAAATACTTTGAATAATTAATGACATGCAGAATTACTAATAAAGAGCAAAATTTAAGTTTGATCTCATCCAGATTTTCATATTTTGCACATCTATTTATTTCAATTCTTTAAAAAGTTGTTCTGTTCCCAAAGATAACACGCTATTTCTTTACAAGTGTAACATATTGAGTTAAGTTGAAATTTTAAAATTTGATGGTGAATTCCTCCTATGCTTATATTCATATGAGCATGATTTCAAAGCTGCTTGAAAACTGCCCTGAGTAGTTGTTATCTGAATGTCAATAAGAATGGAAAAATAGTATTTATATTTTTTTGGTGTTAATGAGAATGCCCCAGAATGTAGTGTTGAAAAGAAATTAATTATGACAAGACATACATCAAAACTGTAGCTTCCAGTAGTAACCTAAATTAGGGGTGAAAGAAACAATATATTTGAATGTAGTTCTTAAAAGGTATGTGAAGTCTCTAACTGAAGACATCATTATCACCTAAGTAGTCCCATGAAGACTATTGCATCCCCAGACCATTTCCGATAACAGCCAAATAAAATGATATTGTCCTACTCTTCTTTATTTACAGTAGCTTTAAAGAACTTGTATATTTTCCCTCTAAGAAAATAAAATCTGTTGTACATGTTAATGTACTTAAAATAGAATGCATTCTGTGTGACAGACTCTTGCAATCACAGCTGTGACCAGACACAACTGTGATATTACGTAAAATTGAGTGATTTCTGACTCTTGAGAACAATAAGAGGTTAGTGACAACAATACTTAATAAATTTTGTATTACTATTATGGCTTTTCTTACATAAATAAAAATAACTTAAATTGTAGTAGTGACTACAAGGAAAGTAATGTATCCAATCATCACTTTGAATATATCGCATTTGAAACAATTAAAGTTTATTTACAAATTTTAAATTTCAAAAATTAACATTTATGCAAAGAAATTGAATAAAATAACAATGAATAAATTGCAAAATGACAATAATTGTTACCAAAATTAGCAAGCAAAGAGTGGAACAAAACCCCCAAGGGACTTCTAACGGCATGAAATGACATGTGATTCTTAAAAGTTAAGTGATATCTTTGTTTTGAGGATTTTTATAAATAAATTCATTATTACACATGTTAAAAATTTTTAATGTAATTTTTAAAAAATTGTAATAATTAAAAATACTATGAAATTTGCTAACATTAACACCTACTTTCCAAAGAACAAAAGACATTAATTTACCTGAAGATGGTTTGATCTTAATTAAATAATTTTTGGTGAACTTTTAATTTTTTTTTAGGAACAAGGATATAAAATTATTCTTCTTCAACTTTATAAAAATGAGGGATTTTATGTACCCCGAACAATCTATGAAGTGAAGTCCTTACTTTGATAACCATAAAGGGTAGATATGAAACAAACATTGATTTATAACAGAAATACTTCTATCTAATTGTAGAATATTTTTGTTTATATGTCGTGCGAAATTATTGGGTGCACAACGGTGATTGTAGTTTTTCCGTTGATTTATTGTTCTTGGCAGAAAACTCTCAAACTCAATTGTGCAAAAAATAATAATTTCACTAATTTAATATAAAAAAAACAAACAATCTCATCAGTATTGAAAATGGTAAGGATAAAAATAAAGATTTCAGTATATATTTAATTTTCTTATAAATCTTCTAATGTTCTCTGTAACAGTGTTTCTTGAATGTTCTGAAAATAAATGTGTAATTTGAAATAAGAATGACATGAGTTTTGAGAAATATTAAGTAAAAGAAAAGAGAGAAGTTTATTCACAAAAGTTTTTGCAAAACGTTTTATTAAAGGCAAACATGTGTGCATAGTCAAGAAAAGTCCAATTAGTGCACTAACATTTCTTGATATAAGTAAAATGATTTTTGTGACTCAGAAGAAAAATTGCAAGTGAACCAGAAGAGCAGTTCACATGAAATAACCATTGACTGTGTATTACATTTATTATTGGTCATACTCATGGCAGTGGTAGTTTTCCTCAGGGTGCCTCATATTTGGAAAAAAAAAAAAAAAATAAAGAATTTAAAAACTCATTTGCAGTGACAGAAATTATAAGAGGCAATTACGCTTTGTGAAATTTTTGATGTTGTTCAGTGGATATAAATCAACAAAGAAGCACAAATTAAATGTGGGAGAATGTAATATCCAATTAAACATTTTTAAGAAAAAAATTACCTATGAAAATAATTATTTTGTTTGTAATTCTGCTTGTCACTAATATGCCATGTTATCACTCTTATTTCTAATGCTGTTCAAATTCTGACCTTAAGAACAAAAAAGAAATATTTTAAGAGCTAAATGCAACATTTAACAAGTCACTAAACATGAATGAACAAATTTGGTAGGAGCAAAAATAAATGACATTAAAATGATCAGAAATAACAAAACCTTACCACTTAAAACTTAATTGATAGCATTTATACACAAATGCTGTATGGAAATGGATTTCTTGAGTTAACATATTGAGAAATGTGTGTCAAGTAACCATTATTAACATTCTTCTTCTTCTTATTATTATTATTATGAATATTACACTGGGAGACTAGTAGCATATAGAAGCACCAAATAATTTAGAATGTTTAGCAATTATTACAACTCAGTGTTATTTTTGAGTAAACTTTCAACCTCATTCTCAACAAACAACTTGGGAAAATGCATTCATTGTTTTTCAACTAGTATTGCAAATTCATGGTGAAAAGCTAACATCTATACACACTCTTGAGGCATCACAGAATAATATTTCCATGAAATTTAACATTACTTGGCATAACAATAAATCAATATTAAATAAATGTCACATATGGGATACTGACACAAGTTGATATAGGTTACTTGGTTGTTAAGCAAGACCAATCAATATTCCATGTATGTTAAACCAAAACAATGGATAATTTTACATTTCAGAAAATTCAAATGGAAAATCATGTAGTGTATTACAAAAATTCTCAGTAATATATGCTGCATTCCTTTGAAATAAAAGTTGAGGTTACTCTTAATTGGTAATTTTGAAATAAAATAGGAGAAATGAAAGTCAAATTTCAAAAGGCAAAGAAGAGAGAAATACAATTTGGCCTTGTCTTTTTTAACATCTTACTTGTGGCTCTCCCATTTCCTTACAGTTAACATTCTTCACTCACTTACAAATTTTATAATAAAATATTCTAATTTTATAACACTTTGGCACTCTCTTTGACTTGTAACAACAAATTATCAGTGTAGGAATTACACAATTTTTATACCTTACTACACAACTGTAGCAATTTCTTTATCTATTATCTCATTTGATTTCATAATGACAATTACAAACTAAAAAGCTGTCAACACACTTGCTTTGTTAACTTTAAATTGTTTTATTACAGTGATATAACATTTGTAAGCTTGTATTTTTGTTTAATTTTTGTTTTTTGATAAACAGTATCGAATTACATTCCAAAAGCAACATTTTGATTATAATTAAATTCAGGAAAAATCTTTTGAAAATTGGAAAATATTGTAATTTAAGAAACTGTATCTACTTTTGCTCTTAATGTTTTCTGGTGATAAGAAAAATCACATCTTTCCTAAAGAAGATTTAATTACTAAATTTAGACATTTTATTTCTGTTTTATCTCAATAGTTTTATTTCAAATATACTTTAGGATTTCTTGATATCTATTTAAAAATAGAAATGCACAATTTTGAAAATGTGTTACAGCAAAGGCAATCATTATAATTTTCATCTTATACTGATTGCAGCAAATGGTTATTTAACTCAATGTTCTTCCTCAATCATTCAAAACAATAATATCTTTGTTAACTTTATTGGGATCTGATGATATTTGGTTATCTTCATTAATTGTGTACAAAAACATTGTGTTGTGATGATAAAAATACGTGGTAAACACTTTGAATTTAATTTCATCACAATGTTGCTTTACCTTTCCTCTACTTCCCCAAATATAGATAGTGACTGTCCAAATTACAGTGTACAAATTTGCACAGCTGTGGAGCTTCAACAGTCAAGGCAGTAGTAAAGATATAAGAATCTAGTGGAGACAGTGCACAATAGCTGCTATTGGAGAAAACTTATTCCCAGAAGCATAAAGTATTCACCTATACAGATTGATTCTAGCTTTGGCACAGTTCACCGAGTCTGTTTGTAGTTTTGACTCTGCATTTTTCAAAAGTTTATGAAATATGTACATATTGTAGCTTTAAGTCAAGTCTTTATATATAACATGAACAATTGCCTTATAACAATATTGAAAATAGTTGTAACATTTACATAGAGGCAAAGAATTTCGATGTGCTTTGTTGTGTGGGATCTCCATCATAAAATTAAAATTTCTTTCCATTGAAATATTTGGGCAAGTTTGGTCTCTTTTTTTTGCCACAAATGTGTTATCTTTCTACAATTAATTTTGACTAATGTATTAGCACACGAGTTTCATGAGAAAATTATACTTAAATAATATTGTGAGGTGAATTGGTCATTAATGAATTTCTTTGTTAGGAAAATACAGAACATAATTGAGCGATTGGAACATAAAATTAATGTGGTCATGAAGTACAAATAATAATGCATTTATAAATATATATGTAATGTAGTAATGGGGAAATTAGTAACCAAAAATGAGATATTGTAACATGGCATAATTTTCTGCTTCTAATAAAAAAAATCTTTCATGTCAATGAATAAGTTCAAGAATATTTCTGAAATGAGAATGAGAGTATTAGAAGGCAAAGTAAATAATGAAAACATTTACCTAATTTAGAATCCATTTGGCAATCAGATTAAACAGTTGGATGATTCAATGAATGAATAATGTGAGTACTCATCAGACTTGAGGTATCATTAACTTGTGTTTATCATATTTGCTGTCATCAGAGGTTGCTGTTTAAGATCCATTCTATTTTGTTATCATTGTGCCAGGGTGGAAAGATGTCAAATTTGGATTTGCAATCTTGATCAGCATCCTCACAGGACATTTACACTTTGCATAAATATTATTTATTAATAATAAACAATTTCTTTATAATATTTCAGTATTATATTTTGTATAAAAATTATAAAACTGAAGTACAAAATACTATTTCAAATGTGAATTACCTCTACAGTAAGTATTAATCACTTGATAACATGTGCTAATTTGAAAAACATTTTCTCTTTTATTACTGAAGAAGAATCGCATACTACTTTAAGCACATTTAAAATTCTTTGCCCCATCTTACAGCAATATTTAAAAGTTTCAAGCTCCCTTCCCTCAAACCTGACAACAATGCTGGCCCAGAGTAAGCAGAATTCACTAGAGAAGTCTCTTTGGGTTTCCCATTGGCGGCACTATGTTGATAAATGCAGACAAACAACATCAAATATGCGGGTACATTCATAACATCTTCAAGTAAGCTGCTGGCTTTATGTTTACTGATAGGCACTTTCTGATCCATCTAGTCAGTCACCTCTATAAGGCTTTTTGTATTTGTTTGTTTGTTTAGAGTAAATATGTGCATTGCTTGTGACTCATAACTTTCATTTTGTTTGTTTCTTCATAGCTGAAAACATTTGCCCGAACACATTGTCATGTTTATTCAATCTCAACTTTTATCATTATCATTCATACTACTGTTTCATTCTTCTATTAGCAAGATTAGAAACACACATGATAATACTCATGACATTACATCTTCACGGAACTGAGGAGCCAAGCAAATTCACCACTGAAGAATTAGAAACCCACAAGTCAACATTTTACCTGTTGTGTTCTAGTGCAATGTGGGGCATCATCACAGACAGAGGGAACCCCGCAAAGAGCTTCCGCGATGGCCACCGTGCTGAATCAGGCTCAAGGAAGGGAGAGCAACTGCTAGGCTTCCAGGAAAATGAGTGCTGTCGGCTTTGGTTCCAGATTCGATTTCTTGGCCTCCATCACAAGGAACTCAATGTCTTGCCTCTCTCTTCGAGCAAATGACTCAGCAATGAGGCGCGCCACATCTTGGTGGTGCATTCCTAGAACAAATGGAGTTTACAATTAAAATGGAGTTTACAATAAAATTAATATTTTAATTGTTAAAATAATAATAATAAAATATGTATAAACTATTTATTTATTTAATTTACTTATATACCTATTTTTATTTGTTCCTTGTTGGACATAAAACTGTGTGTATGATTGTGGAGGAGAAAAATAATCAGGAAATGGTTTCTTGAATTTCTGGAATCTCATCACTTTCTCTTTCTTAGATTGTTAAATTATAAATGAAGGAAGCAATGGCAGTTTCTGGCTTTATTGACTATGAAATTATTCAATCTTTTGTTAAATTTAATTTCAAAATTTGTGCAAAAACTAAAAATTTACCAACTTTAAGACTTAATATAATCTACAAATAAAACAGCCTCATTCATGAATGAAAATTTAAGTTCTTTACTGTTCACATTCAAACAACATTTCATCTTATCATGTGCATCAAGTATAATAAGATAAAATGTCATTAAGTATGATATGAGAATCTATAATATTACATACTTATTTAAAAAATACATTTATATATCATAACATAGTGTTATATGTTTGCTCAAATATATTAATACAAAAAAACAAAAAAAAACTGTAAAGACTAGGAGGCAGATTTTAATGAAATGTGTGTGTGTGTGTTTTTTTCCATTTTTCATTGATTTTGACTAAAAAATCATTTGTCATTTTTTACCTTGTTCAGTCATATTTTACCTTCTTCCATCATTTTTAAAGCATTTTTCGCTGATTTCATCGATTTTAATATCATATTAATGGTACTTGCTTCAAAAATATTTCTGAGATGCAACAAGTGTTCTCCACAGAATTCCTCAGTAACCTATTCAATGTCTTTGCTCAGAAATTAGTCAGCTGTTATATGTAAGCTAAGACTCTTGTGATGCCTAACGTTGCTATTGTCAGTTTGGCAAATTTTGGGATAACTTATGACACATTTCAAAAGGAGTTACATTTGGAGTCCAAATCAAAAGATTGCAAGCTGAGTTCACTTGAACTAAAGGAAGAAGCTTCAATTACATCCGTAACATATCCAACAGCTTGAGTTTTTCGTCTGGACTGGTTTTCATCAATTTAAAAAAAAATTCTCTTTGCTTTTAAAAACTTTTTAAGAGCATTTTTTGATAATTTTTGGTGATGTTTTAGGACATGAAAATCTGCTCCCTAGTTATGACTAATATTTTAATATTGAAAGGTAAATTTTGATTAGACTTATCATTTTGATATTTCCACTCATCCTTAATAGATGAAAAGAACACATGACCAACGGTGCATCCAATGAGAAGAGGAATTGAGAGGGATCCACCTGATCATAGATTTTTGTTAAATAAAAATATTTGTAATGATGTATATTGTTTATGTTCTGTAGATATGACACTATACAATATTATTGTTGAAATAATTACATAATGCAAACATAAATATTTAAATCAATTTTGCCAAATGAAGAAAGGTAAATGAAAACTAAGCCTTCTGGGTGGAGGGCACTGAAACCCTGGCTCCTCCCCCCTCGATGCGCCAGTGGGGAAGTGAGGAGGTGGGAAGCCCCTTGGAGCTTCTAAAAGTTGCCCATTCCCAAAAGTTGTAGGCACATTTTCATAGGCAGTTTGTTCTAATTTTCTACAGAACAACTCATTCAATATCTCAGTAGAAGATGTTATAAATAACTATAAATCAACAAATAAAAATAAATTTTGTATTTAGCATCAATGAATATGACATCAAGTCTGCAGGATATTACACATGTAACTGCCCCACTCCCCCCGCCCACACAAAGAAAAAATCCTGGTTGCACCACTGTACATGATAAGAAGCTACCAAAGGTTTTCAAATTGGATCTATCTAATTTGACTACAATTTCAAATATTGTTCCTTTAAAAGAAAACAGAGAACTTCTTTTTTTATCAACTATTACATTTGGTATTTAATTGTAAGATATAATTAATAAATAAACTAAGTATGGGAGATAACAATGTCCAAATTATTTTAATAGAGGAAATTAAATGCATTTTTTTCATGAAATTATCATTTTACCTTCCACTTTTTGACCATCCACTTCAAGAATTAATTGTCCTACTTCTAAACCACCCGCTTCGAAAGCTGCACCATTTTCCTGTAAAAAGAAGCAGTACAATGTTATTGATTGATTGAAAATGGGATGAAAATGACCAAGAGGACTGAAGTCTAAACAGAGCATTTAGATAGAATCATTTATTTTACTAACATTTCATAAAAATAAATTTGACCTCTTCAGGGTAAAACTGAAGACGATTTTGTATAGAAACAGATTTTTTATGAACATTGTGTTAGCTTTTATAAAACATATGGTAGTACTTACATGTTTAAATAACAGATATAAATCTTAAATGTTAACCATAAGTTTAAAATATTAAAGAAGGGTTGGCATTTATCCTAAAAAGCGGGATATGTCCTGAATACCAACATGTTCCTAGTTGTCCTGCCAAATTTTTCTTTGTTTCTTCCAAATGTACTGAATTTTTATGCTCTGTTATAATTCCACTTATGTGTTACAGATTCCGGAAGTTTTGAGACCTTGAAACTCTTTTCATACTTGTTAATGTAACATTTTTGGAAAACTTCACCAGTGTAAGTAATAAAATCTGGTGCAAACTTAATATAATATAAAATTGTCACAATTTGCCACCAAATTTCTCTAAAAGCCACAAAAGTTTTTAAAAAATGTACACAATATCATTTAAAGAATATTGCATTACGTTTGAAACAAAAAGCACATCATAATCATTCGCCCGGCACCGGCCTCTTACTCAAATTTCGAAGGTCACTCAATTGGAAGCAAGGACATCTCATCTTGTTTGTACAGAACTATTTTAAGATAGAAGAAAAAAAATCCCTGTGTCACAATATGAATAATATTACGCTTCCTAAAAAATTAAAACCATATAAAAACATTTATCGACAGCATTCTTGCAAACATGTGGTACTAAAACAGCACATACTCCCCCCTATTTTCACTCAAAATTACGCGAAAAGTACTCAAATTTTCGAAAACTTGTACATGATCTCATTTCAAAATCTATCTTTAGGGAACAGATTTCATTAAGGTAAAAAAAGCTCTATCATTGGTTATAGGAAAACTCGGAAAAAAATTATGAACTTTTGCAAATTTTCGAAAAATTGGCGTTTTTAACGAACATGAGACCTGCACCATTCTCTTAAACGTCTTCCACACTAGAAAAAAATCGAAACGACGGACATTTAAATTTAAGGCATCTCGACATCAGCCAAATCGACTGGGGCGTATCGATTTTGGAGAAATTCGGCTGAACGATTTAGCAGCTAGCGTTGTTCACAGACGAACAGACGGGACAGACGAACGAACGAACGAACGAACGGACGAACGAACGGACGAACGGACGGACGGACGGACGGACGGACGGACGGACGGACGAACGGACGGACGTGCTGACGTTTGTCATTATTTGATTTTGGTATCAAGGAGCCACAAAACATGGATTTTTTTTCTAAATTTAGCAACTAGGTTTATCCACTTTTCGTTATCAGGACCCTGTAATTAGAGCTTTTTTTCCGGAAATTCGCCGTTTTTCACGCATCATTTCATACCTTTTTCTCTACTCCAAATGGAGAAAGTAAAATGAGTTTATCTACCAACATCAGCGCCAATTTTTCACGCTTAAATCCTAACGTGTGCGTGAATGTGTATACGTATATCTGTGTGTGCGTGTGTGTGATACGTCCAAAAATTCGTGATTGTGTAGTTGAGGTGACTCCAATGCTGTACTATAATGTACGGAGAAAAAGTAAAAATCAAACATGGAGAAAGTTGAAGAATATTTCTCTTAATCTATAATCTACAAATTAATATTTCACTTAACTGACTCTTTTAAAATGCACGTAATGGCAGCCCACATTTTGAGAACAGAGACGTGAATCATCACGTGTCTTTGGAAGAGGCTGATCAGCGAACTTTCTTTTTATTCCGGCGGCCATTGTTTGTTAGGGGACATGCGCACATGGAAGAGTGGGGTTGGTGGCACCCGCGCATTGCTGGTAGGGCTTTTTAGAACTGACTGCGCAGGGATGGTTCTTAGAGCGCCTTTCCGCTCTAGGGTGTTAATAAATTTCTGAACTAAGTCAAGTACATCGACTCTTCCATCTGAGTTTGTGAACTACAAATGATTTTGTTGTTGAATGTGAATATTAAAAAGTAACGGGAATGCGCGGCATTCGGCAACGTTTCCTCCTCTTTGAGTTAATAACTACTCATATTCAAAGTAGCTGCTATCTGGAAATGATGAAAAATCGTGAAATTTCGTGTTTTTCATTAAGACTGATTTATTGATTATTAGTGATTCCGAGCGCGTTAACTAACAAGGTCATTTTTCCCATAAGTGCAGTGCATGCTTTTGCTCGGGGAAATGGCTGAATGGCGAGATCCGGCGCCGACCTACCGTCCGCTAGCAAGACTTTCCCTAACCAGGTATCTCCGAAGCCCAGACGAGACAAACTCTAAGCTCCCGATTGGTCTCCCAGCATGTGACGTAGTGTAGGGCATGTTGGTGTAAGTGTGTGTAAAGGGTGAAGATAGGTCAAGGAGGGGGTAGGAAAGATCGCGCGCGGTCCGTGGCCCGTTTGTGAGGGTACTTCTCCAGCATTCGCCTACTGTTTGGAGAAACCACGGAAAACTACCGATCAGAGCAGCCGCCGCTAGAATTCTCCTCCAGACAGGGACTGAATTCGCCCTAGCTGACAAGCCAGTGTCGATAATCCTACTACCGTCGGGACTCGAACTTACCACCTCCCGGTAAAAGGGGCTGCAGTGACATCAGTTGCTGCTCCTGAGACATCTTCGACTCTCATTGAGTCAAAGGCTCTTTTTTATTCTCTTTTAAGTGCTTCAACCCGTTTTTTCTAAGTTTCTTATTTTTTGAGAATTTTTTTGAAGCGAGTGTCAACTGTCAAGCCTTGAGGGAGTGAACTTCAGATGCATTTTCTCGAATTGAGAATTTTCAGCACATCCATGATAGTCAAGCATAAACTATATAATTTTTGCAGCACGTAACCCATGATTTGTTCTAGTGAATAAACTCAGCTACACAGCTACCTTAAAAAACCCCATAACATTAAAATATATAAAATTGAGAGATATATTGCAGTGATAAAGAAATCTCTGGCTTTAATATTGAAAGTGTAGGACATGTTCTAAAATAAATTTGATCGTTACCAGTTTTTAAATTTTCGAGATTTTAATGAAAATCGGAACTATACAACATTTATAAATCCAACTTCTATTTGAGGAAAAATATTAAGGAGAAATTTACAGTTATTAACCAGAAACTTTTGAAAACGTCACTGGGATCTCATGTAAATCCCTCCCCCCTCCGCCGCAAAAAAATTAAATATCTTGATAATTTTCGGAAAAGCACCACTAGGTCTTCCTCCTGATGTTCTTGTTTGTTTTTTTAACCATAACATCTAATCCGACGCGACACAAATTCCATCCATGCATACAGACATTCCGATTTTGGAAACAAGATTGTGTTAAAACTGTTAAAAATATTCACTTTATGAGACAGGATTTGTAACAATGGCCTAATGTCATCGGCTACTATAGAAAAATCGAAGTTGGTACAATAGATCTTAAACACGACGTGTGTGCGACATGTGTTACAGTTCAAAAGAATCTTTAACGGAATCAAAATAAACACGGACTTTATGACAGAAAATAGAAGACCTTATTGCTGAGGTGATTCTAATACTTTTCCTCCCCGTACTACAATATAGGGAGGAAAAGTAAAAAAAAACTCTCCATTTTGGCAAGCACAACTATTATCATCGTAAAAGTTGTCTTAGCAAGAATTAAAATTCCGCTGCCTTCAAATAGATCGTACAATACATCTATAATTTGCCCACATTCAAAAATATTCATGGAAGGGAAAACGTGTGTGAGAGCAAAGGCACACACCACCACTCCTAATTTACAACCGGTCGTCACTTGTCTTGGCGGTGGGGGAGGCGACACGGTGACCTTCAAAGCGACCATTCGCCTTGAAGGCCGCAGAATGACTACTACTGCTTGGGACGTGGTTTTTCCAGGGCAACCACCGTGTCGTGGTGACTAGTAGGCAAACGATTACTGAATTCAATTTCAGTTCAATTTTCAATTCATTTGCCTCATTTTACGTGGCGAGACTCAGGCCATCAGGCCCGGTCTTCCATCTGGCCTTTCCCCAACCAAGTATCTCCCACCAGTGACGCGTCGTCCCAACCGGGGCAAGCTCTAAGCTCCCGACCGGTCTCCCATCACGTGAGGTAGTGTACTGCAAGCTAGTGTGAGTGTTTGTAAGTCAGGAGTGAGGATAGGACAAGGAAGAGGGAGAGGAAGGAAAGAGCGTGCCCGGTCCGTGGCCCGTTCGTTAGGGTACTACTACGACATTCGCCTGGCGTTGATCGTAGAAATCACGGAAAACTATCAGTCAAAGCAGCCGACATGTCGCGACAGCTAGAATTCTTCTCCGTACAGTAAATGCATTGATCCTAGCTGACAAGCTAGTGTTGAAAATTCTGCCACCGTCGGGACTCGAACTTACGACCTCCCGGTCAGAGGGACAGCAGTGACATCGGTTGATGCACGGAGCAGGGGAATTGAATTAGCAAGCGGGGGTAGGGGTCTCGTAGTAAGCGCGCACCATCGGGGCCACTCACGTGAATGTTGATGATGCGCGGAATGGGGTGCTTGGTGTCGGCGCCTCCCTCGATGGCGATGCCCAGGATGGGCTTGGTCTTCTTGACGGTGATGCGCAGGTTGCCCTGTTGATCAGGCACCACTAATGCACCCTGCAGACAGGACAGCGCAACTGCTCGGCAGGCTGCACTCCGATTCAGCTAGAAACTCAGTTGCAGCGTCTCGCCTGAAACGGCGGTGCCGGGAGGAAGGTGAAGCTTGGGACTAACCGGCGTATAGCTGTGCCACAGAGACGCTCGCCGCAGATGATATAGAAATACGCCAGCTGGTTACCAACTTCCCTTTCCGCCCGGCAGCGCCATTTTAGACGACACGCCAAAGAGAATTTTAAGCTGAATCGGCATACAGCGAGGGCGGCTCCTCTCCCGAAAACAACGAAAGCAAGCTCATGCTGCCTTTCATACTCGGAATAAGACTCATTAAAATTAAATTTTTCGTACTTACCTAAAAATTAAGGGGATGCGCATGCCTACAGAAAGTGGGATTTGTATGAAATTGCAATAATTAATGATTATTGTTGGCTCGCAGGCAGCCAAACCATTTCAAATTTGGCGCCATACTTCGGATAAATCAATTATTATAACCATTCTTTGGGGCGAATTAATACAAAAGGGCAAACATTTAAAATGTACGGCGCTCAAGATGGTTAATTTTTCCCTAAAAAATCCGACGAATACAATACAGAGAGAAAAAAATAGTTATTTATGTCACGAATCTTCAAAATGAGCCCCTAAAGATTAACAGAGGACGAGTTACATACAATGTTTTTTGTTATTTCTAGTTTGTCGCTTATTCAAAATAAACTTTTAATACTTTCATTAGTTAAGAATTGTCATTACTCTCGATATTCTGTACCGAGGATTGGTAGTACTGAATGCTTTATTTGTGATCAAACAGTTGAATGCTTTTTTTACTAATGCAAGCTGATTGAGAAAAAAATTCTGTGAATTTCGAAGTATCAGAAAATATTTTCGTGTCAGATGATATTCTGGAGGAAGCAGAAGCTGCAAGTTTGATGTCTTATAAATCTGTAAGCACTAATGAACAAGCCTTTATGATGATATATATTTTTAAGATTTTTTACATATATTTATATGATTCAATGAGCAAGGATTTATTTTGTGATTGACGAACAGAAAGGAATGTTTAAGGCATTAACGAAGAGATTATGCTAACATACTACTTTCAATATATCTGTACCAAAATAATTGTAAAAATAAATTTTGTTATCATTTATTCCCAAAAATTGTGTTTTGTGTCAACATCATATTTATCCCAAGATTTAGGAGCACTGATAAAATCTAAAACAGAAAGTCTGCTAAATTATTTTTATGGGGTCTTGAGCATTCTAATGGCTGTTGCTATGGACGCGCTCTTGTAGAGTTGTTTTGATGGTTGGCTGCTAAGGAGCTAAGTGCGTGGAAGAAATAAAAAAAGCAAACTTTTTATTGTCAAGATTCGCAGAAACCGGCTCTTTCCTGTTACGACGCTATCAAATGACATTGAAAAATCAGAGCAGCCGAGCAGTCTAGTGGCGAATCGCCTGGCTCGGGTAAACAACTATTAATACGCGCGTGCCGACTGCACTAGAAGTTCAACTATTTACCGAAGTTGGTGTTGCTTTTCGAAGACGAATAGCTGCATTTTCCATGAACCAGTGTGTTTGGCGTGTGAACGTCGCGTGAATTTCTTACTGACTACATTTATTTTCCCCCAGACAAAGGTAGAACTGATAATCTCTTCAATATTTAATGTTAAAAGCAGATACAACGCCAAAGTGTGCTAATAGTCTTAATCATTCTCATTTTCAGAATTTTTCCACGTGAAAAAACTCAGAAAAACGTATAGCAAATCTTCGTCTCAACTCTTCAAAGCTCTTCCAATCATTTAAGCTGTATTCGCAGCCTCAACAATTATTATATTGGATTCAAACCGAAACTTACATGCTTTCGTCTAAATCATTTACAAGAAATACGCTCGTCGTAAAAAAAGTTTCACAGAGAAGGAAACGAGTAAAATTAATTATTAAAACTCGCCAGGAAAGATCCAGTGTGGTAAGTTCCACCAAAATCGCCGTTGTGAATGAGACGGCGGTCTGTATTGAACGTGCAGTTCAATTTTTACAATATTAAAATTATGATATTCAGACATAAAATATAAGTGAATTATCTGTTATAAATTCATCAAATTCTACATGCGTTCAACTACAGTTTCCTTTTTGCCTTCCAAATATTTTATGTCTAAATTAATATTCTTCTAAACAAAAATCAAATTCAAAAAGAGTTCCTGATGATGGAGGCCAACGACCTTCGAAACGTTGATCTATTCAAAAAGCGTAAAAAGACACTCCAATTTTTAATAAAAATTGTCATTTGGTTAAAGTGTATCTTACAAATCAGAGGACCTAAGCTTCCAAAAATTAAAATATACTTCAACGGTAGCCCTAGTAGCTTTTCAAATTAATTTATTTTTAACCTTCCTAACGAATATTATCTTTTGTATTCATATTCGGTCAGTTTTTAATCTATTAAATCAATATAAAATGTATATTATAACATGATTTTAAATTTATTTTCTCATCGCTAGCAATGCGTCTTTTCTCATTACAGAAAACACATTTATTTATTTATTAAAAACAGTGAAAACTATTAATGTGACTTATGGAAGGAGTGCCATATACGTAAATTTCCTTTACTTTGAAAATTTATACTTTATCTTTTGACACACATAGTTGAATTATGATTAATAGTACCAGTGAGAACATTCGCAAACGTACGGCCTGTATAATAGAAATAATTTGTATTGTTTAATGAGTTATGAAACAAAATTGCTTTGAAGTAATTCTTGACAAAATAACTAATTGTAGACTCCTCTAGCATATAGTTAAACTAGAGCTCAAGAAACTAAGAGGAGTTACAGTTACTGTTCAAAAGCAAAAAAAGAGATCTCATCATTTGCTTGCTAGCCGAGCGAGGAAAAGTGGGCAAACAAACTAATAAAGATGGGGTATTTGACCAGATTACGATTACTAAAACATGTTTATTTCATTTCAGTTAATGCTGAAAAATTCTAAAATGACTATTTTTTGAGAAGTTCCATAACCAAATGTATGAGGAGTATGAAGAACACAAAAGACTTATGCAAGGAATTTGTTATGCACTACGTATTTTAATGTTTTAATGTCAATCAGCGTTTCTGCAAGATTTCAATAGCACTGACACTGGCAACGGTCTAGAACAAAAAATTCAGAGATAAAGCCCAGACAAGCGAAGAGGCTGAGAACAAGAAAACATAATAGAGAAGTAGGAACAAGTCAGGAGAGAAATACTTGTATATGAGGAGAAGCTATTTGAAGAAGTCAAAGAAGGACAAGAATTAATATTTAGAAGAGAATAGTGAGAAACTACATGTTGCTCATTATGCAGTCACATACATGCAGCATGTAGTTCTCTTACAATAGGATTTAAGAGGAGGTTAAACACATGCACTGTAACACCAAGTATGAGGACGCCCTGTCAACAAAGAAATTGCACTCATATTTTTAGATTATAAATGATTTAATGACTTGTAGAAATATTAATTAAAGAAATAGCAAGCTATAATTTAGAAGGAGGGAGAAAGTTTGAGATAATTTGTTTTTTGTGAAAGAATAATTTTAAGCGTGAATTTTAACAATTTGGTTATGTAGCGACCTCAGCGATTGGCTTAACTCTAGGAAGAACACGTATGGACAGCATGAACACACACAAACATCACGCTCGAGGCGAGACTCGAACCCACGACCCTTCGAGCGAAGGCAGGTACGGATGTTCAACCTTAGCCACATCGGCTGTCGAGAGAGCATGCCTAGTCTTCTTAATGAGTGCGTTTTCAGTGGCCACCTACTGCATCACATGCAGTGACTGATAAAGGACAAGTAGTAATGCTGATTGATATGTACGGACTATCATGCATGCTCATGTAGAAGATGATATTTGGAAGGATCTCTTCACTTTTTACAATAAAACAATCAACAAATTTTTACCAAGTAAGCGTTGGAGTAAGATTCGTCTGTATAGAAGCTAAGCGTGGGAAGGGCGTTAGTTCTTTCTTTTGGTAGGAATGCTTTACCTTTCAAGTCATTGAGGCTTGAAAAAGGCTTTAAGAAAGTGCTTTCTTGTGTAAATTGTCAATGTTGTAAATAAATTGGTAAGAAATTAAAACTGATAATGAGATTGAATATTATTTACATTTCAAGAACATAATAAAATAAAAAATATACATACTTAAATTTTGTGCAATGTCACTCTGGAACATTAGTTTTCATTTCCAAAAACAACTTTTTTCAAAAGAATGGTGCTATTCATAAAATATTTATGTATCTCCACTATTACTGATGACTTACCTTCTCTTGCATGAAGTAGGTTATGGATTGGATAGAAGATTAATTTTTACCTGTTATGTAAGGATAAAACACAAGTAGAGGGTTTCTCTTCGCTGAACTATATTTGCAAATTTTTTCTTGATGCTTTCATTATAATTTCTACAAACAAATAAAGAAAGTAAAATAACACTTCCTTTATCTCTCAGAAGGAGTAATTAATTAATTATTAGACCCTATTGAGATATTCAGTCACAGTCAGCAAGGGCAAGTCCTAGTGATGTGGATTGTGAATTATTTTGAAAGAGACAGTCATTTATATAACTTATATACAATAAAAATAACTTTTTGAGAGAGAAATAGTAAAAAATAAAGCATTGCCGTTCTCTATTATTTCATACTGCTAATCCAAATTTCAAACATACGGATTATGATAGAAAAATTGCGAGTGTGAAAAATGAATAAATGTTCAAGAGTGACCATCTTCATTTATTGCTTTCATATCACCAGAAGCAAGTTATTACTACGACTAATAATAATAACATAAAAAATTAACTAGTGTAAATAGAGGGCGTATTTACCAATGTTAAGGCAGCTTTCTAATGTGGATCGAAATGGCTTTTTATTTCTTTATTTATAAAGGTGTTTGCAGGAGGCGGTGGGTGGCGCAGGTGGACGGGGCGTCCGAATACGTGTGGCGTGAAGCGCATGCGGCCGGGCGTGGGCAAGGGCGAGGGCGTGGGCGAGGGCGGGGCGAGGACGGGGGCGGGGGCGGACGCTTACGAGTTCCTCGTCGAGCTGCGCGTCCGAGAGGTCGCCGCGCGAGAGGCGCTGCATGGACTGGTGGCGCCGCAGCGCGCCGGCGTCCGTCTCCAGCAGCTCCTGCTCCTCCTTCATGTCGAAGCTGCGGCTCAGTTTGTGCGCCAGCTCCTGCAACACGCGGCTCTGCCGACGCCTCCTCCTTGGCCCGCCCCTCCGCCCCTCCTCCCTCTCTTTGCTGTCGCGTTGATTTAGAGGCGCGTGCGAAGTAAATCAGCTGTTGAATTGACTTGACGCGGCAAGTCTCAGGTCATGACGTCTGCTCTTCCGTCTGACGACGCAAATTTCCTTTCACCAAAAAAGAGGTACGACTCGGGCGGCGAAACAGACGAACATCTGAATTTACCTCAGTAGCTTGTTTTAGGTTTGAGTATATTTTACATGCAGTACATCTTCTAAATGACACGTCGGCTTCACTTCCCCTCCGAAGGGAGGCGTACGAAGGATTTATGCTCCCTTAAAAATCCACGGCTTCGATCGAATTTCGAACTGTGAACTTGGATATAACAGTCCGATATGCTAATCGTTACACCATCACCGCCGCGACTATTCCGTCCGATCGCTGCTGATGATGGTTTCGTCCAATCGGGTGCTTCTATGTCACTATAGTGACGCCGCTATGGTGACGTTCAAGCTCCCTGTTGGATGACACCGTCAACAGCTGATTTACTTCAAACGCACCTATAAATAAATTCGAGTATAGACGAGATTATCCAGTGGGCGCTGGGTTCTGAATTCTTGATCCCTTCTCTCTGCAGTACGATCATTTTCCTTTGTGCCTCAAAAATACATGGTTCTAATTAACAATTTGCGATTGCTGTCGATTGAAGATAATTTTTTTATTGATTGCAGTGAAAATGCTTATCTCTCGTCTGTCACTGCAAGAAACTGTCAAGCAAGTAGGAGCTTAGCTTAGTCGAATTCACCAATCAATGTCGAGTTAAAATTAAAATCAATACAACTATTTTTAAAAAATTATTTACATTTGTCTTCTTTTTCCATTTGAAAAAAAATTGTCTTTAGCTATTGGTCAAACATAATATGTATTTCAAAACTGTTTTTATAATTTTGTTTACTCCCTTCATTTATACTTTTCATCATTTTAATCCCAATTATCTAGTAGATACATTTATGTAGAAAGTAGAACTCTACAAAAGCAAGTAGGTATTGGAACATTGAAAAATGCGTTGCGTCAGAAGAAAGTCATAACAAAACACATTATCATATTTTTTTATAAGTGAGAATTGAAGGAAGATAAGCTATAAATCAAAGTATGTTTTAATTTCTTTCTTTTACCTCTCTGCTCCAAGAACTAAAGCTGTTACAGCACTAAAACCGAACATATGTTTGTACAATCTTTGTTTTGGTAAATCAACTCGATGTACATACACAGTAAACAATTAATTGAAAATGTGAAAAAATGACAATTATAAGTCACATAAAGTTTTCAACCTCTATTTATATAATTAAATAATAGTAGAACGTCTACCGAAGATTTTCCCAGGTAGTCTCTCTCTTTGAGTGGGTTTATGCTGAAAGAAAAATAATCGTACTGCACTATCTTTCTTAGTTCTTGGCCTCCTCACATCGGCATGTAACCTTCAGTAGTCTTTATTAATGCAAAAGCTAATCATCTTTTGTTAACTTAGTTGAACAGGCAAGATACATTAACTCACTGAAGATAGGCAGAGGTAAAAATATGTCATTGAAGTGCTGGAAAACACACAGAATTATTTCAGTGTATTTTCCAGTTGGCCATTCTTAACTATGTTCCACCTATCTAGATGATTTGGAGCTGTTTTCACTATTCATTCACATTTTAAAATTATTGATCTTTTTTAAATTGACGTTCGTTGTTTCGAAGAAAATATTAAACTATAAATAATATCATAAACAACTCGATTGTTTTGCGAGTTCTGCATGTTGGAGAAATACAAAAGGTGTTCAGAATAGAGCTATAAGCGCAAATAGAGCTAAGTACATTTAGCTAATTTTACTTTACTTAGCTTATGACAATGGAATTACGCAAAACACGGTTGAAGTTACATTAGATAAAGAAACGGGAACTGTCAAAGAATGACAAAATAATTTTAATATTGATGTTTAAACAGCCTTGTGGAGATATTATTTAGTTTATTAGAATTACAAACATTATGCAGTTCAATTTTGATCATAGTTGACCATGGAGAATTGGTAATTATGTGAATTTAAAACATCTGCAAGTATTTCTCAGAACGGCTTTATAGAATTCGAGGCTTCATGCCGATGTAGGGAAAACTACAATTATCTGGTCCCCTCGTAGTGTTCAAGAGTATATATTTTATCAGACTTGAGAGAGCTTTCAACCCACTTAAAAAGTACAACTTTTTTCTTCATTTCGATTATTGTGCGACACATTCGACAAGAACGAACAATTGCAAATGAAAATGATATGTTTAATAATAAATTCCATAAAATATACATAGATTAATATGACAAAGTTCGAGAGAGCCGGAAATAATAAATTTCTCACTCTCGTTACAAAAAGAAGGCATTTTGTAACGGAACGAAATTCTCTTGTTTTAGATTCAATACTCTTTGGTGAGATATCAGTAAAACGCAGATAAGCTAGTTTAAAAACACTCTAAAAGGACCAAAATATACTGCGTGTAAACAGCAGCATCTGTCTTCTACCCCACATGCAACACTTTAACCTTCAACTACGAGGGGGCCTTATATATTTAAGTAATAGAAAAAAATAATAATGTGCAAAAAGATTTGCTTCAGCAGGTTTATTGCATGAATAAGGCAATAATGTACACGCTATGAATAAAGAAATACATATTTTCAATCGCACATGCACTTCATTAGCAATAAAATATGCCTTTTAAACAGAAAACATTTAACAATAAGACAATACATTACCTGTTCGTTTCTTAAATTTATATTAAAAATAGAAATGTGATAATAACAAATGCACATGTAATGTATCTGCTCTTTGATAATATGAGATGACACAGAAACATGCATAAGAAACAAAAGGCCAAGGAGTGACTGAGGCAAAGGGCTGAAGTTGTGGACCCACAGTGCAGACTGAATCAAAAGAGTCGATAGAAATGAAATTGGCGGTGCGTGGCGAACTGCAAGGGAGCTATCGTTCACTAAAAAAAGAGCGAACCGCGACCCGTGCCCCCGGAGCAGGACACGTCCATTCAAAAGGCCACTATCTACGTGACACGGCTATTCTAAGACACTGATACATATAGACAGGCACACACACACACGCGCGCACATTATTACTTTTAACTAGCAGCTACTTGAATTACATCCAATCGAATAAGGGGCATGCAGAAAAGTGTTTCTATAAAGACTAACACGTGGACATCGTGACACATCACGTGAACATACGAAGCCTAATCTTCGTTTGTTTCTTTATCATTTTTTGGAATGTATTTTGTTTCTCCAAGTCCGATACAAAATAAGCAAGGAACCCCTACTAAGGTTGGAACAAATTGCTTCTACGGATGAGATACTAACTACAGCTAATATACACAATTAAATATCTCATCTCGTCTATTAGGGATGGCTGCGTTGTCCACGTTCTGTTCTTCTGGAAGGGAGGGTTGGTGCTTGGAGAGGAAGAATCGATAGTGTGGGATCAATTGTACGTCGCATCGCGATGAGAAAGAAGACTTCATTAAAGTATCATTCGAGCTGACTTCTTTCAGCTCTCATATACAGATTTATCTTGCTATTAGAATGAAGTTCATTTCTTAGAGGATCATTAGTATAGCCACTACAATTACTCTCTATTTTTTTTAATTTTCTAATGAAACCAATTTCAATAATTTACGAGCGAGGATCAGTTTTTAAAATTGTATTATAGTAGGAATATAAACCTATTACGTATTCTGTTTATTAGTCGTAAGTTCGAGTCGTAATTTTACAACAACTTTGAATAGTTTTACAACAACTTAATAATAAACGTTTTAGCTAGTACGAAGAGTGGTCAAATATTTGTGAATTATGCAAATAAATAAATAAATAGTATTTTAATTATAAGAACGATCATTTCATTATTCGTTCCAGAATTGTATATTTCCATTACATTCTAGAATTAGTAATTATGAAATTCTGTTAAATTTCAGAGCAATAACGACGTGTTCTATAGCTTTACAGAATCTTGGCAAAACGTGCAAAATAATTTAAGTGAAATTGATCTTCATAAAAATGAAGTTTGACTCCTGTCGTTCTCCCCCTGTATGTTTCTTCGTGAATTTTTTAACCCAATGAAATATTTAAGATATACTATTTTATTTAGTTAATTACATAATATTAGTTCGATAAACTTCATAAGATATTTCCAAACATTTTTACTAATATATCCCTCTAATCCAGACGGGCAAATGCCGGTGACTAGAGTCATCTTCCACATATCATCAGACCCCACTGAGTGAAAATGCTGAATTCGATTTCATTTTGATTATTTATCTCCTCAGTTCGTACTCGTCGGTTGGAATAACTTTCTTCCTTCCTTCCCCGCACGCGAGAGCCATCTCGAGTCGCGTTGTGTGAGACCTGTGGGAGACTGATCTACTCTAATTAGCGAGACAAAACCGCTTCATGCTAGATGCTGACTACGGCCTAAGGGGCGGCATGCAGGTGACTGCGTGAGGGGGAAGGGGAGAAACACGGGATGGGAGCGCAGCCGGACGGCGAGTCCACGAGGACTCCAGATCTGTTCAGTGAATGTTTTTATTTAACACTCATACAACATTATAAAGTTACATTTTTCTGTACCTAAAACCGAAACAACTTTCACTTATATTTTTAATTTTTCCTCCTCTGGCCAATAAATACCGAGCATTTAAGTATACTTTTGCACGAGTGTGTTTGAGTGAAGATTTGCTGATGTTTTAAAATAAAAATGTCTGAAGAATGAGTTAAATGGAATAAACCCCATTAATCAGTTTGGAACCAATGAAACGTTCCTTTCACTGCTTGCTACGGAATGTCTAAATTAAAATAACTGAACACTGGCGTGTGATAAATAAACAACGTCGAGTGTCTTTTAAAAAATATTTTAGAATTGTGAAGATATTATATTGAATTGTAATTGCATAAAAAGTAAA